ATATATATATATATATAAATGTGTGTGTGTGTATATAAACTATAATCATAGTTTCAAACAATAACAATATTCAATAATACAACAAACTTCAGCTCCTAAACAGCAGCTCTTATGAATACAAATTATAGATTTTCATATTTCAAATAAAAATTAGTATTTCTTTAACAAATAAAATTAGTATTTTAAAGTTGAGGATAAACAATATCAACCTTTGGACAGTTTTATATTCTGTTTATAAATCTGTGAAGAAGGTCTGTAGATATATTATTTCATATTAAAGTGTAAACGCTGTGGTCTAATTTAAATAAATCTAAAGCCACATAAGTGTAATGTTAACTATGTATCAATAGAGGGTGCTATATAGTTGTAATTGAGTGTAGAAACCTAAATTGAAACACTTACTGTATATTTTGATTTAATTTAAAAACAAATCAAGATTTCCTTTAATCCACATTAAAGACAGTAGTTGAAGCTTAATTCCACTCAAGTTTTTCACTTTTCGGCTCCTCTTTTTGCAGCTAGATGTAAAAAAAAGGACAAGATTATTGTGAACATATTCAGTCAAGTGATAAAATATATTAGCTGGTTATCCAGTAGTCAAGGCTAATGTTTTACATGGTTAGTAATCTTTTAAAACTACAGGTTAATTTGTATTTTCCTCTCAATCGGCAACATTCATTTCAAACAGCACCAGGATTGTGTTTTCCTCTGACCTCACACAGATGTGACTCCTCCCTGGGAGCATCACCTGCCCTCTTTTGTCTGCCTGCTCCCTGACCTTAAAAACACACCAACAAAATCTGCAGAGCTCGTTAAAAAAGCCTTAAACACATTTCTTTTGATTAACGTATTTCCTTTCCAGAACCTTACAACCGTAGAGGATCAGGAGGATTATTGCGTAGCAGGAGGGTTCATCCGCAGCCTAACAAGGAGCTTTATCAGCTCCTCATCTCACAGATAAGGAGCAGGTCACAGATGATACAAATGAAGGCAACAGCTGTCTGAGCAGGCGGTGGTCCCTTCAGATTCTCTCCCACAGAGGTCTGAGCTGTTYTGAGGGACTTCCAGAGCTTCTTGCTTTCTGCGTCGTCGAGCACCATCAGCTTCACAGAAGCAGGCTTTCATCTCAGGCCCAACAGAAGCGATGTGCTCGTGCAGGGAAGGCTCTGGGATGAGATTTGTCCTTTGAGGTGGAGCTGGATGATGATGGAGCTGACCTCAGCCCAGAAAAGATGGAGAAAAGGTCTGAGCTGCAGCTCTTTGTGACAGCTGAAGTGAGTCTGTTGCTCTGATGGATGGACTCTGGCTATTCTGTGTGTGTGTGTGTGCTTTTATTCCACTTTATGTAACCGTGAGGCCACATCCACACACAAACACTCATCTGCCTCTCTGCATTTAGCCTGTCACAGCTAGGCTTAAGTGGTGCTCCAGTCTTCAGCACTATAGCTGCATCCATCACTGCTTCTCCTCAGAATCGCTGTGACAAACCACCCCAGAAGCCTGTATTATTTCTGGTCGTACAGTGCCGCCGCTGCCGAGGCTGCTGAATATTTGAGTGAACGGTTATTTAAGGGTTGGCGAGACGAGGAGGGATCATCTGAGTGATGAACGTTTCCATCAGAGGGGCAGGAATGATAAAACCTTTATTTGACCTGCAGGTTGGTCATCAGATGAAATCAGTCCCAACTCTGGACAAAACAAAAAACTTCAATAAATACATTAGGCATGTTTTTTCAGTCATGAAAACATAGGAAAAAAGGCAATACAATTTAAAACACTATCAAACTAAAAGAAATCACATAGAAAATGGGAAATTTTTCATTTTAGAAAGTACAAGTAGTCTGAAAACATCAAATGTAATTTATGATAGCACATTACAAAAATAAAATATTTTACAAAAACCCTACCTTTACCCAAAATCACCATTTGTCAATTTATTTTTTCCACTCTAAAAGAACAGTTCAGATTGGTAATGAACAAAAAATATCCTACCTGCTGTAGATAGCTTTTGATTAACCTCAGCAGTTTAATTCCGACCCGATTGATGAGCTAACGGCTAATCTAGCTTGTGTATGGCTAGTAGAGGTGACTGTTGCCGTTCTAAGGCTGTCTCAGTTCCTGGGCTGCAGCTGATGTAGACCACGGCCCACATTAGTCTCAGCCTATGTGGACCACAGGCCGCTCCTATCGACTGTTTTATATCATCGCTTCAGTTGTTTTTTCAAGGTATAACTTCACAATATATAAAGTTCACACGAGAGGACGTAAAAGACGGCAGGTTGGTGTTCCTGGACTGTGAGGTCTCAGTTTCGGATGGAGGACGGTTAGAAACTTACGTGTATCGCAAACCCACCCATGCAGACCAGGATTTGCATTTTGATTCCCATCACCCACTGGAACACAAGTTAGGAGTGATCAGGACTCTGTACCACAGAGCAGACAGTGTCCTCACAAACACAGGAGCCAGAGAGAAGAAGTCACACACAAGACCTGGGCATTTCTGAAAGCAGACAAAAAACCCAAACAGGATTCCAGCCAACAACCAGCTGAAAATGAAGACCCTAAACCCAGACCCAAACCAGTCGTCGTTTCGTATGTGGTGGGAGTTTCAGAGAAACTGAGATGTTTATTCTCTAAACATGACGTCCCAGTGGCTTTCAAACCCCAAAATACGTTACGACAAAAGATTAGTTCATCCCAAAGATCCAATTCCCCGGCAAAAACAGAGTAATATAGTATATGCTGTTAAGAGTCAGGAGGACTGTGATCAGTTATACATTGGGGAAACAAAACAGCCACTGTTCAAAAGAATGAGCCAACACAGACGAGCTACTTTGTCGAGTCAGGACTCTGCAGTTTACACTCATCTACAGGCCAGTGGTCACTCTTTCAGGGATGAAGATGTTCTCATCTTTGATAGAGAGGAACGTTGGTTTGAGAGAGGAGTAAAGGAAGCCATCTTTGTGAAGAAAAACCGTCCACCATTAAACAGAGGTGGAGGCCTTTGTGTCCAGTTGTCCTCCTCCTACAACGCTGTTATTGCAAGTGTGACTCAGCCCCCTGTGAGCAAAAGGTGTGAATCAGGGYCCCAACGRTACCAACACAAAGAGGGAAAGAGGGACAAAAACAAGGGGACGTTGAGCCCCGCTTGCACTTACTACATACACATAACACGACACCAAATAACCACAGCCGAAGCATCCAAACCAATAAGTCAGGTGATGGGGCACATGACCCTCTATGAACAATAGAGCTAATCAAGCCTATTGTTAGTCGATGGCCCTCTTTTGCATGTGACTAACCTGTTTGTCCAGGTGGAGGCAGTGCTTATAAGGCTGAGTTCATCAGACTGAAGAAGTCTCTTGGAGGAGAGACGAAACGTTTCATTAAAGAACCCATCCAGAGGACCTACTTATGTTTTTTTCCTTTTTGATTAATAATTTGAGTTTAGCTCCAGTTGTAACTACTTTATTTAACATCATTGCAACAAAAGTTTCATCAGCTAGGCTTCTAAACTTACATTTATCGTGGCATGACCTAGACCGCCGTAAAATTAAAAAGAAATAAAAAAAACTTCAGCTGTTTTTGTATTTCTGTTTAATTTGATGAGCGTGCAATAAATTCTGGGATACCATCGGTCACGTAACTCAGATGCAGCCTATGTTTTCAGGGGGGTTGTCAGCCGCATGAGCAGATGCCTATGAATTGGGACAACCTACAGCGCGGAGCGTAAGCGTCCGATGTCAGCTGCAACCCACGAACTGAGACGCAGCCTAAATCAACCCGAGTTACATTCTGCTGATGGGTTTTCCTGCAAAAATACCACGATACTTCTGCTGAAAGTAAGCGAAGCGTTATTGGAGATGCAGTAGTTAGCAGTCCATGTTCCAAAAACGGAGGTAAAACAGTTCAAGATGAAAAAAAAGACCAAACAAAAAGGGATGTAACAAATTCTGACAAGTTTTATTGTCTCTTTCATAAATAACACTGAACAACCTCTGTACAGTGATAAATATTTATACACCATAAAATTCTCTGTATTACAAAATACAGTATATGTGTAATGCACTTGATACAGATTGGGAAGTAATGCATTATTTCATAGCACCAAATGTGACCCTTCATCCTAAACCTTCGCTCCCAGTGTCATTGGGGCGTGCAGTTACGCATCAGACTCGGGTCGTCCGTGGGTGTCTATGAAATATACTTCCCTCAGGAATCCGTTGTTGCATAACTAGATCTAAGATAAGTTGAGCCCACCTGGAAAATACAAGAGCCTTTCGTGTAAATTGCTCAAGTCCCAAGTGCGTCTACGGTGGCCTGTCAGGTTTTACATTTCWCTTATTTTGTATTAAGCACTTTGTTTCGGGAGAGTTTTCATCATTTTTTAAAATGCTTTGAAAATTGGAGCAGTGAAAAATAGATATCTCTAAAAGTTTTTAAATATTTTTTTATTTTGTCGTTCTGACAAACGATTCTGGTTCAGGTTTTGGACGAGGTTGAGTAT